CTGGCAACTCGGCCCAAGTTTGCTCTCCTTGAAGTTGTCCAGCTGCCAGAGCAGAAGTCGGGGAGTGAATCCAGGTGGGGACAGGGGAGCCCCCAGAGACAATCACACACTCCCAATAAACGTGGGGATGGGAGGAGAATAGAAGAGCAGCGGATTCTGGAACCCTGTCCTCGCCTCTTCCCTGCCCCGTCTCCCTGCAGCATGGAAACCATTAGCTGCAGATGGTTTCCCAGGCACGGTGCTGAGACGACCAGAGTAAATCACTTCCTTCTCTACCCCCGGGAGAACTCTCTCTTGTTTGGATCATAATTCAAACAGTCTGCCTTGGGTGAGCTGAGATGCTGAGATTGAATACAGAGTGCGCCAGTGCCCAGGGGCCAGTTCCAAGAATTACGAGTGGTGAAAAGACATGACGGAGAGGAGGTGTCTCTGGGGTGACTATCCCTGCATTTGACCAGCATATCCCCCCAAATTCGGAGAGACATTTTCACTTCTCTGAAGCTGAACAACTACTTTAAGGGGCAGCCAGGTGGTGTGAAGGCTAAGGTGACTGGATCCCAGATGGCTGACCATGCAGTTCGGGTGCTGGACCCATAGCTCGAAAAACACACTGGGCATGTGTGTGTGCCCAGAATCCTGAGAGAAGAATGAAGGAGAAGGGATTGTGGTGCAGCCGTCCTAGTTGGGGGCTGCTTCCTCACTTTCCCTCTCTCTGTCTCTGGCAAGCACACACATGCTATAACAAAAACTAAAAATAATAACTGTTATTATTTTAAATACAAATACAAAATATTTGATTTTATTACTATGACTTCTACTTATACATAACTTTCTGGAAATCTATGGCTCTCCTAAAGTATCACTTCCCCCCCTAAAATGAGATCTTATCTAGTGGTTTTGTGAAAAACCCAGGACCAAACCGGGTGGCTTAAACTCACACCAGGCGCGTGTGCGTGCGTGCCCAAGATCCCGAGAGGAGAATGGAGGAGAAGGGACTGCGGTGTGGTCATCCCCCCTGGAGGGTGATTTCTTGCTTTCTTTCTCTCTGTCTCTCTCTGTCTCTCTGGTGAGCGCACACGCCCTATAGCAAAAACCTCTCCCCCCCGCAAATAGAGTAGTACGGATTTATATAGTTTTTGAGAGTGTTGATTAAGGTATGAAGAGCCCATAGAACCAGTGGGAACTTAGGCTGGCAGTCCAAAAGCAGGGTCTAGGGCACATGTCTTGAAGCTATGCTCCATACTTTTTAAGACATAGATAATTATTAACAGCTTGTTAATAATTAGATGAGGCTGGACAGCCCCTTCCTGTCTGACACAGGGCTCTTCCTCTCTTGTCTTTAATGACTCCGGCCCATCCACCGATAATCTTCCTTCACATCCACTGATAATCTGTCTTCATGGCTCTACCCACAACCCCACCCCCGGCCCGGGAAGGCTGGAGTAGCAGGAAATGCTCCTGTTGTGATGTCAGGGACCCTGAATGACAGTGTGAACCCTGCGCCCCTTAGCTGCAAGATCCCGGGCAACTTGCTTTAACAGTCTGGTCTTCAGTTCCACATCCATAAAGTAAGGTCTCTCTCAGTTCAAACAGCTTGGATTTCATGACTGGGCAAATTCAAAGTTTCTTGACATCAGGAAAAGAGTGGAGACTCTTTGTTTAAAGGCATTTCATGACACTCCATCATGCTTTGAATAGAGGGAAGCTGAGAACCTCATTACCGACTAAGACAGAGCAGGCAGGGGGACATCTGCACCTCCTGAGAAAGGCCCTTGTTTCTCAAAGGTGGAAGTGACTTTCAAGTTGCTGCCCAGCAAGCCAGCTAGCGAGCAGGCTCCCACACCGCTGACCGGCCATTCTGCAACACTGCCCTGCGGTGACACGGACTGACATAAGGAAGACAGAGCTCCAGGCTCAGCCCGGTGAGACCAGCTAAATCCCTCTGGCAAATCCTGGCAAATCTTGAATTCCAGAGAGCCAGGGGAAATCACGCCGGGTTGGAAATCATCGCCCTTCCTGACCTAGAGGTGTCGTCGACTTGCAAATCCCCGTGCTGGCAACTCGGCCCAAGTTTGCTCTCCTTGAAGTTGTCCAGCTGCCAGAGCAGAAGTCGGGGAGTGAATCCAGGTGGGGACAGGGGAGCCCCCAGAGACAATCACACACTCCCAATAAACGTGGGGATGGGAGGAGAATAGAAGAGCAGCGGATTCTGGAACCCTGTCCTCGCCTCTTCCCTGCCCCGTCTCCCTGCAGCATGGAAACCATTAGCTGCAGATGGTTTCCCAGGCACGGTGCTGAGACGACCAGAGTAAATCACTTCCTTCTCTACCCCCGGGAGAACTCTCTCTTGTTTGGATCATAATTCAAACAGTCTGCCTTGGGTGAGCTGAGATGCTGAGATTGAATACAGAGTGCGCCAGTGCCCAGGGGCCAGTTCCAAGAATTACGAGTGGTGAAAAGACATGACGGAGAGGAGGTGTCTCTGGGGTGACTATCCCTGCATTTGACCAGCATATCCCCCCAAATTCGGAGAGACATTTTCACTTCTCTGAAGCTGAACAACTACTTTAAGGGGCAGCCAGGTGGTGTGAAGGCTAAGGTGACTGGATCCCAGATGGCTGACCATGCAGTTCGGGTGCTGGACCCATAGCTCGAAAAACACACTGGGCATGTGTGTGTGCCCAGAATCCTGAGAGAAGAATGAAGGAGAAGGGATTGTGGTGCAGCCGTCCTAGTTGGGGGCTGCTTCCTCACTTTCCCTCTCTCTGTCTCTGGCAAGCACACACATGCTATAACAAAAACTAAAAATAATAACTGTTATTATTTTAAATACAAATACAAAATATTTGATTTTATTACTATGACTTCTACTTATACATAACTTTCTGGAAATCTATGGCTCTCCTAAAGTATCACTTCCCCCCCTAAAATGAGATCTTATCTAGTGGTTTTGTGAAAAACCCAGGACCAAACCGATGGGATAAAGGAGTACAAGCAGCCTCCCTAATAAGCTTTGCAGAGGCCAGATAGTAAATACCTTAGACTTTGTGGGTCCTGAGGTCTCTGTCCTCCCTACTCTACTCTGCTGTCACCACACTAAAGCCACCACAGACACTACACGAATGAGTGGATGTGGCTGTGGCCCAATGACACTTCATGGATAAACACTGATCATTTGGATTTCACATCCTTTTCATACATCATGAACTATTCTTCTTAATTTTTTGTTCGATGAAAAAATGTAACAACTATCCTTAGCCCTCGGGTTGGACAAAAACAGGTGATGTGCTGAGTCTGGCCTCTGAGCCACGCACTGTTTTAGAGGATTCCTGGGCAAGAATGCTAAGAGGTGAAGTCTTGCTTTTGGTTAATAAGAATTTTACCCACTTGGGCAATAAGATAAGCTGGCATTGCTAAGTAAGACAAGAAGGGGTTGTAGGATGGCTTTGGTGATATCTAGGTTCTTGGTATTTTGGACAAAAAAGTGAACGAAACATGCCAACAGTGAAGGCAAAGGATAATTTATTCAATAAAAGCAGACGTGCACTCCTGAGAGGCAGGAGCAGTGAGAGGAGCGTGGATCAAGGGCCCTAGTTACTTTCTATGGGGTTTACGATTCTTTGGGGTCAGTCAGCTGATCACTGGCTGGGCCCGATGACGGATATACCCTGTTAGCGAGCCATCAGCTGTGGCTGGGCCCACTGCTTCGTCTCATTAACTATGTAAAATGTAGCTGGGCACCGCTGGTTTCTCCCATTGGCTATTAGCTAGACAGCCCCTGCTGAAAATGTTCCACCTACATCACCTGAGTGAGGCATTTTCTGCCCCAATCAGTTTTTCTATCTAGCCACATAGGCAAATAAATATTCCAGCCTCTTTATCTGCTTCCTAGCTTTCTTCCTGTGTCAGGGGTAGAGAAAATGAAAACAAAGGAACCAATTATTATTATTTCTTTTTAAAAATAATTATTTAATTTTACTTATTATCATTATTTTAAATTTTGACCAGAGAGAGAGAGAGAGAGACAGACAGACAGATAAAGTGAGAAATCAAGTCACCAGTTCCAGGATTTGAACCGTGGTCAACCACGTGGGAATCCCACATCTTAACCACCACACCACCTGCTGGCCCCACAAATTATTATTTCTAAAAGTTTACTTATGATAGAGTGTGCACACATGCACTTTTGTATGCATAAAAGAGAGAGAGAGAGAGAGAGAGAGAGACACCTTCGACAAAGTCTCATCCCCCTTTCCCAGGCCTCCAACTTGTCAGCGTCTTGAGCACCACAGGCTCCCAGCATGTTTTCCAGCTGACCTGGGAGATTCCAAACTATGGTTCACTTCACCAATGACTGAGCAACCAGGCTCAGGCATGAATACATATTAATAGAACAATTCCATGAAGAGTAAGAGAAAATATTTTGAAGAAGCCCCCTCTTTTGACACCTGTAAAAGATTTTACCTTCAGGAGGAATGCGTTTCACCTCCGTGGAACTCAACAGACTTTCATTGATCACTCCTCTATTTCAGGAACACGCTAAGTGCAAAGATGATTGAAACACAGACCCTGCGCTCTGAGGGGGCAGCTGCTGTTACGGGGTGAAAGGTCGTCTCTGTCTAGGGAGGAGGTTCACTCATTCACTGGGTAAACCTTCCTCGAGCCCACACAATGTGCCAGGCTCTGAGCTGGGCTCTGCGATTTCGAGATAAGCAGGCTCCAAAGCTGTTAATGGTAAGCACATCCTTCCTCACCATTACCTTGTTCTTACCTTGTTAGGGGGAGGGCAGAAACGTATTTGCTTGAGGCAGAGACGTCAGGGTAGCTGTCCCAGAGGCAGAGGTGGAGTAGCCAAGAGGGAGACCCAAGTGTGACTACTGCTGCCCTGACAGGGCCGGGGGTCAGGTGAAGTGAGGTGCTCAGTGAGCAAAACAAAGGAGCATTCCGGTGCTAGTGCTCGCAGGACTCCAGGGCGAGCACCTCACTTGCCATACCCTGGGCCCAGCCTACACACTATCTCCCTCTAAGAACTGCTCTGGTTCCAGGGAGGACCTGGGCCCTCAGCCTCACAGACTCTCTCCTCCCCTCTCCCCCTCCCCAGCAACACTGCTAGGCATCCCTGTCTTTCCTCCAGCCACAGAGGGAGATGGGGTAAAGATGGCGGTCTGCCTCAGGCCCACTGGGCCTCCAGGGTCCCACTTTCTGCCCACTCACCTGGCTCCGAGGGACCACTACTGAGGTGAGCAGCTGTGGGGTTTGGCTACGTAGTGTCCATCTCCCTCCCTAAGATACCGTCATGTCCCAGAGAGGAATTTTTATGGGACTCTTCTCAGGGCTTCCCCCACCTGCCCAGAGCCGAAGCTGGGGTGAGGCCATGACCTGAGGGTCTCTGCTTGTTACCACCAACTGAAGCACTGCCAATCGCACTGAGTAATGCCCACCTTACACACCAGGTCCTACCCTGAGCCCTGCTACTCAATGGGGGGGAGCCCACACACTGGAGTCTGAGCCAGCCCAGACTGCAGCTGGAATCTGCATTTGGAAAGATCCTTGAGTGATTCCCCTGCTCCACCCTTCCCCTCACTTGCTCCCCCCATGCTGGGGCCTAGCAAAAGGCCCTTTCTGAAACATGCTCTGGGGCTCTGAGGTGGCCCTGGCTTTTCTGGGTGGCCCAACTTCCTGAGGCATTCTCAGCTAAGGACTTCTCAGACAAACTCACCTGGTGCTCAGTTGACTCTAACATGAGAGCAGGCCTTCATTTCAGGAGATAATGACCTGTGCAACCTCTCCAGAGGAACCCCTCCCCTTCAAAGGGGCAATGGAGGCAGAGACTCAGGAGGCTACTTCAGAGGGCAAATCTCTCTAGAAAGTCCCTTAGGCGAAGATGGATGGTCTGGGGGTCCTTTTTAGGGGGAAAAAAAAATCTATTTTCCTTTTTAATGAACCAGGAGTGATGAAAGGCCATTTACAAACCCTAATATTTAGGATAGGCTATCATTTTTCATGCCCTGGACATGTTTTATCTTTTATTAGCAATAGTTTTAAAATTTGCTATAGGGTTCTCTGGAGAGAGAGAGAGAGAGAGAGAGAAGGGGGACGTGAGAAAGTACCCCCTGGGGGATGGCCACATTACAATCCTGTCTCCTCTATTTCTCCTCTCAGAATTTTGGGCACATACTCACAGGTACCTGGTATGTTTTTTAAGCCACTGGGTCCAGGACTTGAACCACACAGTCAGCCATGTGGGATCCAGCCACCCTAACTCCCACCACACAGAGGAGGAGTATGCAATTCAGAGAGGTCAAGTAACTTGCCTCAAACCCCCTAGCTCCTCACTAGGAAGAGCTAGAGATTGAGCCCAGGTTCGTCAGTGTCGGAGGGTCACATAACACACACCGTATGCATGTGGTCGGTGTTTTCTCCATGGGATTGCTGGTGGCGAGACCACGGCACTGAGTGTGGATGTGTGTGAATGCGTGTTGGAGGCAGGTGGGGTCGAGTCCTCAGGAGAGTCAAGGGCACCAACGAGAAGCTGCGTGTGATGGTGGGGGCAGCTCCCTGGGGTAGTGAGCCATGGTGATGATGAGACACAGTCAGTTTAAGATACCTGTTGCCAGCAGGTAGTGTAGAAGTTAAGGTGCTGGGGAACCAGCAGTTAGCGTAATGGCTATGTTGCTGGACTCTCAAATAGTCGACCGCGGTTCGCGTCCCGGACCCGGTGGCTTAAAACTCACGCCGGGCGCGTGTGGGTGCATGACCCAGATACCGAGAGGAGAATGGAGGAGAAGGGACTGCGGCATGACCATCCCCCCTGGGGGGTGATTTCTCGCTTTCTGTCTCTATGTCTCTCTCTGTCTGGCGAGCGCACGCGCCCTATAGTGAAAAACCTCTCAAAAAAAAAGTGAATCTTTAGGGAACCAGCAGTTAGCGTAATGGCTATGTCGCTGGACTCCCACGTAGTCAACCGCGGTTCGTGTCCCGGACCCGGTGGCTTA